ACCAGTTATTTACTTATAAGATGCAATGGTGGCACAGGCATTGGGTAAACATTCCCATTCTGAAAGGGAGAATTTGGCCAAAAGAAAGGGACACCAGGCCCCACTTGAGTCTGAAACACAACAGGGCAGGGCAGACATTAAATCTTTTTTTTTTTTTTTTTTTTTTGAGACAGAGTCTTGCTGTGTCGCTCAGGCTGGAGTACAGTGGTGCGATCTTGGCTCACTGCAAGCTCAGCCTCCTGGGTTCACACCATTCTCTCTGCCTCCTGGCAGACATTAAATCTTAAAGCTCCAAAATAGTCTTTGACCCCAAGTTCCACATCCAGGGCACACTGACGCAAAGGATGGGCTCCCAAGGCCCTGGGCAGCTGTGCCCCTGTGGCTTTGAAGGGTGCCAGCCCCTGGGTCTGCTCTCACAGATTGGAGTTGAGTGCCTGTGGTTTTTCCAGGCTCAGGGTGCAAGCTGGTGGCTCTGTCCTTGGGTCTGTGGGAGGGGGTAGAGAGCAGCAACCCCTTCCCACAGCTCCACTAGGAAGTGGCCCTTTGTGGACCGTGTCAGGGGCTCCAACCCCACATATCCCCTTGGCACTGCCCTGGTAGAGTCTCTTTGTGGGAGCTCCACCCCTGCAGCAGGCTTCTGCTTAGGCACCCAGGCTTCTCCATACATCTTCTGAAATCTAGGTGGAAGCTGCAAAGCCTCCTTCTCTCTTGCACTCTGTGCACCTGTAGACTTAGCACTATGTGGACGCCACCAAGGCTTATAGCTTGCTCCCTCCAGAGTAGCAGCTGGAATGGTACCTGGGGCACTTCGAGCCACTACTGGAGCCAGATAAACTGGGATGTGGGGAGCAATATCCTGAGGTAGCACTGGGCATCCCCTGAGCGTGGCCTCCAAAACCATTATTTCCTTTTAGGTCTCTGGGCCTGTAATGGGAGGGACTGTCCCAGAGGTTTCTGAAATGACTTCAAGGCCTTTTTAAAACTGTGGTCTTGGCTATCAGCACCTGTTTCCCTTTTAGTCATGCAAATCTCTCTAGGAAGTGATTGTTCCACAGCTCTCTTGTATTTCTCTCCTGAAAATGCCTTTTCCTTCTTCACTGCATGGCCAGGCTCCAAATTTTCCAAATTTTCATGCTCTGTTTCCCTTTTAGTTATAAGCTCCAACTTTAAGTCATTCCTTTACACCTATTCCTGATTTTAGACTGTTAGAAGCAGCCATGCCACATCTTGAATGCTTTGCTGCTTAGAATTTTTTTGAGACAGAGTCTCACTCTGTGGCCCAGGCTGGAGTGCAGTGGCACAATCTCAGCTCATTACAACCTCCACCTTCTGGGTTCAAGTGATTCTCCTGCCTCAGCCTCCCAAGTAGCTGGGATTACAGGCGCCTGCCACCATGCCTGGCTAATATTTGTATTTTTAGTAGAGACAGAGTTTCACCATATTGGCTAGGCTGGTCTCGAACTCCTGATCTTGTGATCTGCCCGCCTCAGCCTTCCAGAGTGCTGGGATTACAGTTGTGAGCTACCATACCCACCTTAGAAATTTATTTTACCAGACACTCTAAGTCATCACTCTTAAGTTCAACCTCCCACAAATCCCCAGGGCATGGACACAATGCAGACAAGTTATTTGCTAGGGCATAAAAAGGGTGATCTTTATTCTGGTTCCCAATAACTTCCTCATTTCCATTTGAGACCACCTCAGCCTGGCCTTTACTGTCCATATTTTTATCAGTGTTTTAGTTATAATCATTTAACTAGTCTCAAAGAAGGTCCAAACCTTCCCTTGTCTTTTTGTCATATTTTGAGCCCTGAGCCCTCCAAACTTCCAACTTCTGCTCATTACCCACTTCCAGAGCTGCTTCCATACCTTCAGGTATCTTCCTAGCAACATTCTACTCCTTATACCAATTTTCTGTATTAGTTCATTTTGCATTGCTATAATGGAATACCTGAGACTGGGTAATTTTTTTTTTTTTTTTTGAAAAAAACAAGGTTTATTATTTGACTTACAGTGCTGCAGACTCTATAAGAAACACAGTACCAGCATCTGCTCCTGGTGAGGCTTCAGGAAACTTGTATAACCATGGTGGAAGGTGATGGGAAGTCAGTGTGTCACATGATGAGAGAAGGAAGCAGGAGACGGGGGAAGAGGCACCAGGCTCTTTCAAACAATTAGCTCTCATGTGAATTAATTGAGAACTCACTTATCACCAAGGGGAGGGCACCTAAGCCATTCATGAGGGATCCGCCCACATGACCCAAACACCTACTACTAGGCCCCACCTATAACACTGGAGAAAACATTTCAACATGAGATTTGGAGGAGACGAATATCCAAACCAAGTCACTGACCTGGGTTCACGTCCTCAGTCTGCCGCTTATCATCTTGATATTCTTGGGAAGATAAGTTTGCCTCTCAGAGCCTTGGTTTTCTTCTAGAAAATAATAAAACTTGTTTCACAGGAGTGTTAAGAAGAGTAAGTGAGATAATACATGAAAAGCACTTAATTTTGCATATGACATACAGTAAGGGCTTAACAATTGTCATCATCATCATCAATATCATTATCATTACTATTCTCTGTACAATAAAATGTGTTGGAATCACAGCAGATAATCCAGTTATTTGGATGTGGTTTTCCCATGTCATCGGCTGAGCAGATGAGTTGACAATGGATGACTGTTGAGTGTCTACCATATACTGGTACTGTTATGGATGAGTGTCTACCATATACTGGCAGTGTTATGGAAGTGTGGGCACAGCTCATGAGAATTGTCTAAGTGGGGTCATGACATGTATTTTCCTAACCATCCTACTTAAGAAATCATCCTCCCAGTTGGTGTGAGACAGTAGGCTCTCTTATACACTGTTGCTGGGGGTACACACGGATGCAGTCTTTTTGGAGAGCAACATGGCAGTATTTTTTTAAAGGACTTTTTAAAGGCATATTTGGATTGAGCAATTTTCCTTTGCAGGACAATAATCTGGATATGGTGACAAAATATGTCCAACATGGCATGGATAAATATGTTTGAAACACACACACACACACGTGTGCAAATGAAAGCATCTTGGTCAGGAGTTGGTTGGTTACACAGAGTGTGTTCATACAGTGGTAGAATATTACGCAGCCTTAAGAGTGAGGTGGGTCAGTATATGCTGGTATGAAAAGATTTCCAAAATATACAAAGTGAACCAAAGCAAGCTTCAGAACAGTAGGAGGGGTATAATATCTGTGTGGGTTTAAAGGTTTTATGTGTGGTTTTGTGGATATAGGAGCTTTCTGGAGAAATCTAGAATATAAGTAAAAACTTCAAGGAGCAGTTACCAGTGTGGAGTGAGAATAAGAGATTAGACGAAGAGGACTTGTAACTTTACCTTAAGCCCTTTTTTTCTGATCTCTTTTAATCTTTGCCTTTAAATTTTTTATGATGTAAATACAAAACCAAAAACAGTAAGGCAAAATAATTGTCTATTTGGAGTGCAGTTCTGGGGAATGAAGGGTCCTTTGGGATGCCTTGATGACCTTCTAGGGAATTCCTAGAAAATCAGTTCTGGAAAGTGATTTGGCAGTTGTTGGAGCAGGAGGTCCTAGAATTGTTTCCTTTTGCCTTGCAGTCTTTCCTTCCCACCAGAATTGCTGTTCTAATTTCTAGAAGGTTGCCTGCCCCAGTCTTCCTTTTTCTCTCTTCCCACATTCTATAGTTTAAATCAGACAGTTCTGTTGTTCACTTCCCTGGAAGGTTGTGAACAAAAAGTTGGTTATGTCTCCTCTGCTTCCAGCATCACACAGGACCAAGAGCCAGGACCTGGCCAGAATAATGCTGCCTAATGCTGGCTCTCTCCTGTTGCCTTAGCATCTCTGTCCATCAGTCCATCCAACAGAGGTAGTACCAACTGGCCAACTTTTAAAAGATATTGAAGGAATAAAAACCCAATCAAAGTCCCTCATTATAAGATAACTTAAAGCACTCAACATAATGTGAGCTCTATAATTTTTTATGTTATTGAAAGGTATGGGTGGTGATTGTGTGTATCTGTTGGATGTGGGGGATCAGGGGATATGGAGATAGCAAAACCACTCTTGACCATGTTTCTATAAAACTCTACGGAGTTGCAGGAAATAGAAAACATCCTTAAACCTTCGTCGAACAACCGACTTCTAGTGTGCATTTGTATGTATGTGTGCAAAGGAGAGTCTGAAAAATGTACCTTCCTTTCTCTTTTGGTCTTGGGAAACTTGAGGAGCTCTAAAATCAAGAAGTTTGGGTTTGAAAGCAGCTCTACTTTGGTTGAATTATAGTAACTCTCTGGGTGTTTGGGTGTTTCATCTGTGAAATGAGTTTTATAATGGTACCTATCTCAAAGGGTGGTTGTGGGGATTACATGTGTTGTTTACATCTAAACTATGTAGAATCATGCCTGGCACATAGAATTTAATACATGTTAGCTTACTGATAGTTATTATTTTTCACCTTCTGCTCCCTACCGCATCCCAACAATTGAACAAATCCCTTTCCTCCTACTTTCCTATTTATTTTTCTTCCTCAATTATTGGTATTTATACAACAATCTAAGAGGTCCCGTGTTTTTCTTCTTTATTTGTATGATAGGTGTTCAGATGTATTATAGATGAAGTTGGGAAAACAGCCTTGAATGTAGGGAGGTAGTATTGATCTTCTTCTTTGTTTCTCCCATCTTTCTCTTTCTCTCCTTCCCGACCACTTATAGCACTTATAATAGTGTGGCCCCGATTATATGTGCCTTGTATTGTCTTTGGGTCATTTAGGTAGGCAGGTTGAGTCATGACTTATCTTAACGACATTTTAATTCTAGAGGAGCCTGGTCTTTGGCTCTCTGAAAGACACACTGGCCCTTGCAGATGCCTCATCCCATCTTTGGTGCTATGTAAACATGTGTTGTCTTGAGCTTCACATGATTGGTGGCAGATTCAGTGAGATCTCACCTCACAGCTTTCCCTTCTCTGTCCTCTCTAGGGCCAGGAGCTGACTATCCGCCAAATCTCCCTGCTGGGCTTCCGAGACCTGGTCCTGCTGAAGGTGAAGCTAGGTGACCTGCTGCTGCTGGCCCAGTCCAAGTTGCCCTCGTCCATTGTCCAGATGTTGCTCATCCTGCAGGTGAGGCTGTGCTGGAGACTTGCCCCAAGGCCAAGGGAGGGAGCGAGGGAAGAGACTGCCTTTTTGAGATAAGGGGGAAGGAACCTAGTGACCAGAGCACCTTAGCTTGGCTAACTACTATTTAGTTTGTTGGCCCGTGTTCGTTCGTTCGTTCATTCATTCATTCATTCATTCATTCATTCATTTGTTCATTTCATGTGCATTCACTGAGCACCTGTTAGGTCCTGGTGCTGTGCTTGGTGCCAAGATTGCACTGGGGAGTGAAGGAAGCATAGTCTTTCATTCAGGAAGTAGATACCCTTTTCCCCTCTCCAGTGATGCCAGGGAGCCACAAGTTGCAAGTCACAGCAAAGAATACACTTTGGCCTAGCTTAGGCAGATGAGGAACTCCCTGGAAAGCTCCCAAGGCAGATGGACTTCAGGAGGGATTACAACCAGGAATGAGGCTGTCTCAGGCCAGGAAGCCACCATCCTTCCTCTGCTTCCTAGTCTCTACTTGTATCTGGGCTACCTTGTCTGTCTTCATCTTGTCCTATCTTTCCTGGACTTGGTCTTTTTCTCCTTGCAGGTTTGTGTTCTGTGTTTGGTTTTTACCTGATCGAAGGTGACACCTCACAGTTGATGTGCTTCCAGTAAGAGACTAGCTAGTGGCTGCCTAGTGTCACTCAATCCCAATTCTAAATCAATACTAGGAAGTTGAGCTAACACTTATTGGTCCTTGGCTATGTGCCAGTCACGGGCCAAGGACTTTAAATGTGTTGTTTCCTTAATCAGATAATCCAGACAATCACTGTATGAAGTAGGCATTGTTGTTATTCCCATTTTAGAGGTGAGGAAAATGAAACCTAGTAAGTTTGTGTGCTTGCCTGAGGTCCCTCAGCGAGGAAGAGGCAGTAAGATTTGGAATTATGCACACCATGCTTCCTCCCCAGAGGAAATAATTTAATTGGTCCAGCTTGGGCTAGATGATTCCTCTTTGCCCCATCAGCCATGACCCTTGAATAAGATCAAGCAGTATAAACATGGCCTTGGCAAACTCATTCCTATGGGTGGGGGCACACAATTCTCGAAGAGTAGGGTTTTTGGCTAGGGACACCCCCAAGAGGTGACTGCTATGCCTCTTCATCTCTGTAACAAGTTCAGATGCTGCAGCATTAGCTCTGAGCCCTTCCTCAGGGAAGATGGCTTCATCCTTGATCAGGCTAGTGGTGACCCCTTGCTGCCCTCACAGCAGTGATGGAATGTCAGGCATTGGGGCCCCAATCCTACCCCCACATCCCCCAGCTGGTGTTATGTTTCAGTCCTTGAAGCTGGGCCATCCTTCTGGGCATTCTCCCCCTTTCCTATAATTAGAGAGGAGGAAGAGTTGCCTAATAGGGTGATGGTGGGTGTAATTGGCCGGAATGCCAGGTCAAGTATTTTTATGGAAGAGATGGAGAAGGAGGGGGATAGAAAAATGCATGGGGGGGCTCGGGTCTGAGAAGAAGGCTTAATTAGATCATGCTTCCTGAATAAGGAGTCTTGAAAATGAGCCCTTTGGGATTCTGATAGGAAAATTCGGAAAGTTGGGCTCCCATCTTCCCATTTCAGTTTATAATAGTTTAGAGCTGAGAAGCGATTCCTTTGTGTTTTTGGTGGTGGTGGTTTGTTTGGTTTTGTGGGAAGGAGAATTGATCCAGTCCTGCAGGTGAAGGCTCTCACCTGTCACTGCTGGAACAGGAGGGCCTGTGTCTATAATGAAAGACACCTATCACATTCCAACATTCTGGGCCCTGGGCCAGGTAGCCCTGCAACCGTATGAGAAAGCTGTCATCATAGCCCTGAGTCCCCAAAGACAGGTGAGACTGCTTGCCCAGGAGAATCTGCCCTCATGCACTCTGGTCCCCACCCCAATTTGCTCTCCATGGGACGGCCTCAAACTCTTCAGTGGTTTCCAATCGATCTTAGAAAAACAGCCCAAGTCTATACCCTTGCTTTCAGCATCTCCCACCCTTCCATCCCTGCCTGGAACCTGACTTCCCCACTGCTCTGGTCTTCTTGGCTTCTCCTGGCTGCCATGGGATCTTTGTACTCAATGTTCCTCCTGCTCAGAACACTTTGTTTTCCGGGCCCCTCAATCCCCTCTCTAATCAAGGCAGGTCAATGTTTTCTCCTTGCCCTTGAGCCCTCAGCACCCAGCACAGTCTTTGACACATAATAGGTATTAATTAAACACTGGCCATGGAATATAGTAGAAGCTTGAGCAGGACTGACTCTGGGTCCCTGGCCTCACACCCATGTTGGTGACCATCATGCAGGGCTTCTTCTCTTGGCAGAGGGAAGTACAGTCAGAGAAGCTCTGGGGTCATGGTGAATTTCTGGAAAGTCAGGCAAGGAAGCAGTTCCTCCTGTGTCTATACCATTATTTTCCCCATCTCACAGCTGAGATGGAGGTTCAGAGAAGGTGGTGGCTTTTCTCAAGGTCTTGTACTCATTGATAACAGAGCTTGATTGCTCCCCATCCCTTAGCCCTTGTCTTCCTACCTCCACTTAGCCTTTCTTGGCAACTACTGTCTTCCTTTTGCAGTCTCCCGGGGTACTGAGAAACACCCCACAGGCACCCTACAGACCATTAAAGATCGTCCACTCTCCTGCAGGGCATCTGGCATCACTTCCCCTGAGGGCTTCCTGGGAACAGTGCCTTTGGCCCATGTTTTTCCTCACCAGGAGCTCTAGAGCCTGGGGCTGGGGGTATGACTGTGAAGAACTCGGATCTTTCCCTGGCCCAAGTCCATCTTGAGCAGCAGGGGCGGTGGCCTCTGGATCTGAATGAAACTTCCAGGTGGCACTGCCCTGGGGCCATATCTGCTACAGGAAATTTGGGCCTCAGTACTTAGAATTGTCCATTATCTGCCTAGACCTGCACTTTCCACAGTGCCATGAGACCTGGGGCTGATCTTTTTCAAAACTACCTGAGCCTACTACAGAGAAAGAAGCTCTTTATTAGGCCTTCAGCTCCGTCTTTTCTGTTGCTCTTCCACAGTGTCCCTGACCCCACTCTACCCTTCCCAAAATGTACAAATACTCCTACAGTGGGCCACGTGCGCTGCCTTCAAACCACCCCAGTGAGAGGCACAGTCAGAGATATAGACCAGTGCGAAGATCAGTTCCCTCCCAGCTGACGCAGACAGGTCCTGACACTACCGTCAGAATGGTGCATTCTCAGGGGTCCCAGCCAGGCAGAGTGTGCAGCCTGTGCTCAGAGGACCCTGAGCTTGTTTTATTTTCTCCCATCACCATTTGACATTCTTAATGAGTTTTGAACACGGGGCCCTGCGTTTTCATTTTACGCTGGACCACACAAATTCCATAGCTGTTTGGCAGCCAAGCCAGGGGCTGAGGACAGCACCTTCCTAGAGGGCTGTGCACAAGCCAAGTTCTCAGCAGCGACTTTTCTGGGAGAAAACCATCCAGCTCCAAATCACGTGTTCATTATCCATTTTCTTCCCACTTTTTGCCACTTCTCCTTTTTCTGTGGTCCCTCCCTGTTTTGCATGTATGGAAGGTTTGGGGGAGAAGCCACTCATTTTCTCTGCATCTCTTCTGGCTCTGTTTCTACCTCCAAATCTGCACCATAGCCCCCTCCTCAGCCTCCTTGTATTTCCTGAAGCTGTGTCCTCTCTCCCCCAGCCCCTGCCACACCCATCTCAGTGTGATGGTACCAAAAAGGGGCCCAGGAAGAGCCTGTTTCCTTGGCAGCTTACATCTCCCCCTGGGATCACCAGCCTGCAGGAGTCAGCCCTTCCTGCCTTATTACCTGACCAGTTTCCCCTTCAATCCCTGAAACACCGCACTGGAGTGGAGTCTACTTTGAAAGTGAAAGTGATTTACAGTCTACTCCATTTCGAGAATTTGACCTGTTAACCCCTTGGGCTGGGCACAGCCCCACGGAGACTTGTTTCTTTCCTGGCCAGTCCCTTCTTCTGCCAGGTGGGCTTTGCTTCTTTGCAGCCCCTCAACATGACAGCATGTTTGAGTCCTTTCCAGCAAGAAACTGAATTCCCTAGGAGTCTGCCAGTTTTCTAGAAAACATTGGTTACTGGCTTCTTTCTGGTTTTGACTGTTCTTTACTCAGGGCTTAGCTTTGAGGACTTCTGTCATGCTGGGGTTTTTAACTGGCTCTTCATTTGGGGCTAAAACTATTCCTGGCTCTAGAAGAATTCTTTTCTCTTATCACCCTGAACTTTTCCATATTCTTTCTTCCCTTCTTTTCTAGCCTGTTAGCAAGTGGCAGAAGAGGGGATCAGAGCCAGATAGCCTGGGTTCCAGTCCAGGGTTTTTGCCATTTACTGGCTGTGTTTTTCTGGGCAAGGTATTTAAGCTCTCTGGGTCTTTAGTTCTTCATCCATAGAAGGGGCATAATAAGAGGACCTTCCTTTTTGCATTGTCAGGAGACCTCTGTGCATTATATATGTTAAGTGTCTCTGTGCTGTGTATGAACCAGTGCATGTGGGTAAGATTATTGTCCTTGAAACCAGTCGGATCTCAGCCTTGGAGGTGGGACACCCACACTGTATTGGTGGCCCAATGGGAGAGGCTGCTGTGGTACTAACCATGTACAGTTCTAATTGCAGTGACCCATGGCAAGTGACTAAGGCTTCAGGCCTCAGTGTCCTTCATTCTAACTGCAGCGATGCTGCCTGCCAGCAACACAGACTTGTACATTGGAAGAGGACAATCAGGATTTGTTGAATGAGAACCTGCTGGTCATGGCAATGAACACTGACCTTTGTGTATCTTGGTTGTTCATTTTCCAGAGTGTTCACGAGCCCACAGGCCCAAGTGAGAGTTATTTGCAACTGGAAGAGCTGGTGAAGCAAGTGGTTTCTCCTTTCCTCGGCATCAGCGGGGACCGTAGCTTCTCAGGCCCCACGTACACGCTGGGTAAGGAGTGCAGCTCTCCAGTTGTCAAGAGGCCTGGTGATCATGATACCAGCACTGTTTAACTGAGCACTGATTATGTGCCCAGCCTTTTGCTTCCTGTGTGGGTCAGAGCAAATCTCTGCATCTTAAGCACTCACGTTCCTGGCCTTTGGAGGTTGCAGTAACCTCTACCCCTTGATGATTCCTCCCCAAGGACCGATACTATGCCTTTGTGGTGGTGCTTGTCTGATCCACATCTTTGATCAGTGGCTTTGATCATTTTGGTGTGCCTAGGACATTAATCTTTCTGTATCTGATACCAGAAACTGTGCTTTGTTACACTCTTCCTCTGGGTGAGTAAAGAAACCTACTGTGATGGATTTCCCTTTGAAACCAACTGGAAATGCCAGGCCAGCTTGTATGCGTGGCCAGATGTTATCGAGCTGCTGTCTCCCACTCCGTTTCTGTAGGTACCACCACATGGCAAGGAAAGGGGCTCCTGGATTTGGGGACAAATCCTGTTGGGGCCGTTTTTTGATGGCTGTAAACCTAGCATCAGTGAGTGTCAGGCTCTGTACCAGGCACCTTGGAAAATCTGGAGATGAATCAGATCTGTTCCTTCTCTCAGTGACACTGCAGTCTAGATGGGTTCAGTACAAATATCTCTATAATACAAAATAGCTCTCAGACCAGTCTTTGTAGAAATAGCTGTATGATAAGGCTTCTAATAATAATAATAATAAACCCAGTTATTGTCTGAAATATAAACCCTCGAAATGCAGAAACGTTTTATTCATTATTCTGTCCCCAGGAATGGTGCCTGGCATATTGTAGGCACTCAAAAAATGCTAGATGATGGCAGCAACGGTACTTCGGGGCCAAGGGAGCCAGCACCCACAGAGAGATGCAGAGGCGGAAATGGATTACTCAAATTGGGAGCCTGATACCCCCTCTTCTCGCTTTAATGGAGTTGTAGTAGTTGAGCTTCAAAGAAAGGAGTGTCCTCCAGTGAGGTTCCTGCCCCTTCCTGGGCCTCTTACCACAGCAAGAGCCAGGGCCAGCTGGCCGTTTTCACCACCCTGATCATGTTTTTCTGGAGACACCAGCTTAACCACAGCCACCACAGATCGGAGGGTGCTGGCCTCAGCCTGCTGCCTGCTGGTTCTTCTCCCTCCTCCTTCCCTTCTTCACTCATTCCTCCCAGGAGCTGGAACGAGCCAGTTTCAGTGACACTAAAGGAAAACAGCCTTCTGCAGCCCCACTCTGAGCTGGGCGCCATGTTGCTGCAGTCTCCCTGGAGCCCACGTTCCTGCTGGCTCAGCTCACCGACTTTGGGGGTCAGGGGCATCCAGGGAGCTGTCAGGATGTCAGCAAGCTAGCTGGGCCATGGCAGGAATGCCACCATTGTTTGGGCCTAATGCCAGTGTAGAGGAAGAAAAACAGTTTTTCTTCCAACCCTCCTAAGCTCTTAGTTAGAACAGACCCCTGTAACACATTAATAGGAGAAAAACAAACAGAAGCTTATTAATATTGTATGTTTCATATATACATGGGTCACACCCAGGGAGATAGTAGTTCTTAAATACGTGGCTTTGAATTTCAGCTCATATAGCATCTTCAACAACAAAAAATAAATTTCTAGAGAAGTGACAAGGCAAAGAAAAACAACTTTGAGTCCGGGGAGGCAGCTTGTGGCAAGGGAAGTAGATGACAGATAAGGGCTGGTTAGTGAGGCTTGTTCATGTAGGTTTCTCTGGTGCCATTGCTGGCTGATAAGGGTCTAAAATTGTCTTCAGTGGTTAACCTTTGCTCTCCCTGGTAGAAGTGGGATGGGATACCTTTTGTCTTTATACATCTCTATAGCGCCTTTAAGCAAATAGAGGAAGGACAGAGAGCTTCCTGTATCTGCTTCTTAACTGCCTTCAGTTCATAAATCCTTATGCCCAAGAGGCATATTTTGTGGTGGCTTATTCTGGTGTCCTATCCCAGGAACAAGAGTGGATTGGGAAGCTTGTTCAGTGAGGATTCACTCTAAGAGGGGATAGCTTTAGCTTTCCAACTAAAATAAGAATAATGCACATTTTTGCCAAATTAAAGATTTGAGGTTTTATTCTTGTACCTAGGACAGTCCCTGCCTCTGGTGAGTTGTCACAGTAGGGGCAGGGAGGGAAGGACGTGACCCTCTTTTGGCTAATTTTAAATTATTTCAGCAAATGTGTACTAAGACCCTGTCCTGGCACTCTGGGAGGTGCTATAGACATATCTGTGAATGAAGCCAACCCATTCCTGCCCTCCAGCACACACAGCCTAGGGGAGAAGTCACAAACAAGGCAGTGTCTCGTCAGTGTACACTTGTTCTCAGGGGGCAAGTACAGGGGCCACGAACCCAGGGCACGCGGACTTCACCTTGACTAGGGAATCAGGGAAGACTACCTGGAGGAAGTGATGATGTCTGTGATGGGACCTGCAGGATGAATATGAGTTAGCTGAGTAAACAGAGAGGGATGACTATAAGGGGAGGACCTTGGGGGGGTTTGGAGGACAGGTGATGAGCAAGAGGAAGGAGTGTTAGAGGAACTGAAAGGGCTTCAGAGTTGCAAGGAAGCTGATGGCAAGGGAGCTACTGGACACAGACCTCGTCCTGGGCATGGTGCTGGGGGCGCTGGATGCTGGGCCATGGAGCAGACACTGCTGTTTCCAGGTTTACAGGGGAAGCAAGTGAGGATTAAGGTCACGTGGAGCCAGGATTACAAAGCCTGGAGTTGTGGATGCTGTTGCGGATACTTTATCAGCTGCCCCACGTGTGCTATCATCACCTCCACCCCCACCGCCCGCTGCCAACTTTGAGGAGGTGACTTTATTAAGGGACAGCTCAGGAGGTGTTCCTCAGCCCAAGAGGGATCCTAAGCCAGACATTTCAGCCCATGTCTCTGGATACTGAGAAGCTAAAGTGGTCACAGCGGTGCCCATCCTGACTGAGGACATGGCTTTCCAGATAAAGAGAGGACTCTGGGGTCCTCCGTCTGCCCCTTAGTAAAAGGTTTATTTTGCCTGTGGGAGGGGAGTGTTGAGATGGCTGGCTGAGGTAAAAACTAAGGAGTCAGGCTGGAAGTGAAAAACCCCTTAACCTATGGGAGGGCTTTGCCGCGGCTCACTTGGGCGGGAGGATGGGTAGGCGTGGTCGCAGGTGGGCGTGGTCACAGGTAGGCGTGGTCGCAGGCAGCAGGGGCCAGCCATCCCCGAAGAAGCCGCCACTCAAGCTGGATTACTGACTAGGGTTTTGGCATGTAACTCATTCCATCCTCCAAGGTACTGTTGGGCTTTCAGTCTTAAGGTCACCTGCAGGGCAGGTGACTAGAGCCAGAGAAGCGGTTTATTCCCGGGACTCCGCACTGCACCCACGCGCCCGCGCGTGTTTGACTGCACGAGGATTCTCGGGTGGTCTCCCTTCCTGCCAGCCCGGCCTCACCCCTGGGTCGGAGGCCCATGATGGGAGTGAGAGAATGTGCTCCCCTCTCCAAAGCAGCTACTTTTCTGCAGCAGTGGGAGTTGGTGAGGGAGGAGGAGGAGGGTAGTGAAACTTTGTAAAAGGCCGACTCCTCAGAGGCTGGCCCTTGCCCCACCTTTCAAGTCCCCGAAGTCTCCAGGCTGTTTGCCTGCTGTTTGCAGGGCCCTCCCAGCGTGTACACTCAGCAGCACGCTCGACTTCTCCCACACAAAGGCGCTGGTTTCCCACAGGCCTCCGTCCATTGTATCTCCCGCGGGAGGGCCCTTCTCCTTCAGGATACTGTAACTTCTCTGCGTGACAAGCCGGCATTCACGGCTTTCAGGTGCCAGCCTGGAGAGGGACGCCGACCACGGGCTTGGTGTGCTGGGGTCACAATGGCCGTATTATGGCGGTCGCTCTGGTGGGGCCTGGCCAGGGAGCCTGGGAGATCAAAAGCCTGGGAACCAAGTCCCCAACAAAGGGCCCCACGACGGCCTTCTCCAGGCTTTGCTTCTCTCTGGGGGTTTGAAAGGAGCTGCTCTTGCTGGCTCCGGTGCCGTGGATGAATGCCAGTGCTCAGCAGGGCTCCTGGTGAGTGAGGAGGGAATAAAGGCTCCCCTTGGCCTCACCCCGTGTGAAAGGGAAGAGGCGGCAGCAGAGGTGGCCTGGAGATGCCAGCTGAAATGGCAGGACCCAGCCCTGTTCCTGCTAAAAGGGCACCACTGCAAGGGAAGGGCTGGCTTGGAGCCCCAGGGGGTACCCACAGGGTAATCAGTCCCTTAGTGGGATATTCCCTTCCCTGGGTGACAGGGTCCTGCCTTCCCGGGGGCAAAGAAGGAAGAGGTTGGGGAGGAGAACAAGAAGCAAGAGTGTCAGTCGCTGTCTGCCAGTCGTGGGCATGGCGTTTGGTTTTAAGGCCTCCCAAGGGGCCCAGCAGGCCTGACCTCCCAGTGGGGACACAGCTGACGCACTTGTCTGAGGCTTGGCTCTGGAGTCTGGTGGGAACTTAGCAAGGAAACGCTGTCTGCTCGGGGGACTCAACACAGCCTTGTGGTCCCTTTGGTCCTGGCTCTGCCCACACCCAATCTTGGGAATGAAAACATTCCACCCAGAAAGCAGAAGGAAGAGCTGTAGCCTCTCTGGTGAGTCATCAGCAGGGAGAGAGAGGCTGAGGCAACTGTGGAGAGAGCAGGGCCTTGGAAACCACAAGAGCTGGGGCTCAGCTGTGTGGCCTGGAGCAACTTCTGAGCCACAGAAGGCTAAGCACAGAGGCCCTGTCCTCCTATTCAGGGCCAGCAGGAGGAAGAAGCTGTCCTGTCTCAGGGAGGGGCCAGGTAGAGCTGCCTGCTATGTTATGGACCCCAGCTAAAGGCAGCCTGGCCCCTGTGAAATCGCTCTCCGGGGAGGTTATGTGTACCTCCCCAGTCCCTCCCCTGGATCCCAGACCACATCCTTGGCCTTGCCAGAACGTGGCTGTATTGCCATGTTCTGTTTCTCAGCCTCTCCCTTACACTGAGCTTGCTCGTTGAGAGCA